TTCCCATTTCTGAAGAAGGGTCCCAACCTGAAATGTCAGCCTTCCTGCTCCTCTGACTCTGCTTGGCCTGCTGTGTTCCTCCAGCTCCACACTATGTTATCTCTGACTCCAGCATCTGCAGTTCCTACTATTTCTATCCAGTATATTCTTACTCTCTTTTCTGCCCACTGACCAATCCTCAATCCGTGCCAATATATCATCTCTTTTTCTGAGGAAGGACATTCTGACTATGGAGGGAGTGCAACAAGGTTCTACCAGACAGATTCCTGGGATGTTAGGACTGATGAATGAAGAGAGATTGGATCAGTTTGAATTATAGTCACTGGAGTTTAAATGAATGAGGAGGGAACTCATAGAAACCTATAAAGATCTGACAGAACTAACAGGGTAAACACAAGAAGAATGTTCCCAATGAGCAGGGAGTCCTGAACCAGACGATCATGATTTCGGGGTAGGACAGGGATGAGAAGAAATGTCTTCACCCAGAGAATGGGGAGCCTGTGGAATTCTCTGCCATGAAAAGTAGTTGAGCCCAAAATATTGAATGGTTTCAAGAAAGAGATAGATTTGGCACTTGGGGCTAAAAGGATCAAAGGGTATGGGGGAGAAAGTGGGAACAGGGGACTGAGTTGGATGATATTACCTCATTTAAACTTTTCCTTATACTTTTGTGCGATGTGGGCATCACTGACTGGGCCCAGCATTTCTTGCCTGTCCCTGGTTGCCCCTTGAGAAGGTGGGGGTGAGCTGCCTTCTTGAACCACTGCAGTCCACCTGCTGTGGGTTGACCCACAATGCCCTTAGGGAGGGAGTTCGAGAATTTTGACCCAGCAGCACTGAAGGAACGGCTATATATTTCCTAGTCAGGATGGTGAGTGGCTTGGAGGGAACGTGGAGGGGGTTGGTGTTCCCATGTATCTGCTGCCCTTGTCCTTCTAAACAGATGTGGTTATGAGGTTTGGAAGGTGCTGCCTAAGGATCTTTGGGTGAACTTCTATCTATGTTTTTGGTTCTTACATAAACTGGATCCTTCCCCTCACACTCTGAGAATATCCTCAGTGACAAGGAGATGACTTTAACTATGGCTCTGGGCAAAACACCTGGTTGTACCTGCAGGAAGCAGTTATCCATCCTACATCTCTAAGCCATTACAGTTCACTCCCCAAGCCACCCACTTGAATCATGGGGGCAGGCCATTCAGCCCATCAAGTCCACACTGGCCTTCTGAAGAGCATCCCCAGCCCCACCCTATCCCTGCATTTCCCACAGCTAACCCACCCAGTCTATACATCCCTGGGCACAATGGGGCAACTTAGCATGGCCAATCCACCCTAACCTGCACATCTTTGGACTATGGGAGGAAACCAGAGCACCCGGAGGAAACCCACGCAGACACAGGGAGAACGTGCAAACGCCCACACAGATAGCCACTGGAATTGAACCTGGGTCTCTGGTGCTGTGAGGCAGCAACGCTAACCACTGAGCCACCGTAATGTTTCCTCTTCTATGGTGTGGGATGACCTGTTTGTTTCACATCCATCAGCCTAGTTCTCACGCATCCAGCCAGGCAGGAAGCAAGGCCTGGACATGTTCATTAATCTCAGGGCATGTGGTCACACACTAACCCGTCAGTGACCCACTCGAGGATTCTCCCTGAAGCCAAGGGGTGTCACTGTCACCTGGAACAGAGCGTCCTGGTAACTCCCTCCCTCCCTGATACCCCTCAATGTCCAGAGCCCTGACTCCAGCCTCCGTGGCTCTGAGCCAAGATTGCAGACAGCGCAGTCAGTTCCTACAATTATAGTGAACAGTAACTACAATACTTCCTACAGAACCTCCCCGCCCCCATGACCCTTTTCCCAAGTGCCTCTTGTGTCTGATTTTAACTCAGTTTCCACTGCATTCTGACACTTCTTCTCAAAATAGACCAAATTGGCCAAAACATGAACAGATACATCAGTAGAAATGAGGAGGCCTGGGGCTACAGGTGCAGGTACAAATCATGCTTAATAAACGGAAAAGTAATTCAGCCGTAGCATATTGAATTTCCTCGGCTATTTGCCTCGAGGCATTCTATTTGGATACAGTAATGCGATTCGATAAGTTGTTGTCACAGTGAGGAGTGAAAATCCCACTCCTCATTCCTCACAGCATCGGAAAAAATATTCTCCCGAATCCGATTCTAGAATCAAATACAGAAATTGCTGGAGAAACTCAGCAGGTCTGGCAGCTCCAGTGGAGAGAGAAAATCACAGTTAACATTTCGAATCTGACACGGCTTGTCTTCAGAACAGTTTGGGTCCTCAAGTCTTCTTGCTGGACTCAAAACATTAACCCTGTTTCTCCCTCCACAGATACTGCCAGGCCTGCTGAGTTTCTCCAGTTATTTGTGTTTCATTTTATTCATTTGTAGAATGTGGGAGTAGCTGGCTAGGCAGAATTTATTGTCCATCCCTAATTGCCCAGAGGGCAGTTGAGAGTCAACCACATTGCTGTGGGTCTGGAGTCACATGTAGGCCAGACCAGGTCAGGATGGCAGTTTCCTTCCTAAAGGACATGATTTGTTTCAGATCTCCAGCATTGGCAGTTCTTTCAGATTCTAAAATGTTCTTCAATGAGGCCCAGCCAATTCTCACACACACACCCGCCCCTATGAATCAAATCAACCAGTTACAACACTTTATTTGAATTGTAGCTGTTAACTAATTCATCCACCCAATCAGAGTGCACACCTCTGAGCACCCCAGCCAATCACAGACCATCATTGCCTGTTTCCAAGTTAGTTTTGGTGGGGAGGTATATGATTGGCCGATGGAGGAGTTGGGGTGGGCGATGAGTGTAATCCCACGAGGTGCTGATTGGTCACATTATTTGACTGTTCCACTTGCCATTTCGTTCCTTATTGTAAATGGACACATCCAGCAAGATCCCAGACTGTTAGCAATTCTCCAGGGATTTTACAGAAACTGAGAATGCTCCAACAGTGAGGAGACCATTCAGCCCATTGCTCCTGTCCCATTGTCAGAGATAACAAGTTGTAGAGCTGGATGAACACAGCAGGCCCAGCAGCATCAGAGGAGCAGGAAAGCTGACGTTTCAGGCCTACACCCTTGAATTCTGAAGAAGGGTCTAGGCCCGAAATGTCAGCTTTCCTGCTCCTCTGATGCTGCTGGGCCTGCTGTGTTCATCCAGCTCTAAACTTTGTTACTTCAGATTCTCCAGCATCTGCAGTTCCTACTATCTCAGAGAAATTGTCACATAGCTCTGGAGCAGGTGGACCTTGAACCCGGGTCTCCTGGCTCAGATGTAGGAACACTACCACTGTTCCACAAGAGTCCTCCACAGGTCTGGTTGTATCTTTCAGTGCATGTCTACTAGCAAATGTGATCAAGGAATATCCATGGATCTCTCAGCAGGCGGGACTTGAACCCGGGTCTCCTGGCTCAGAGTTAGTAGCACTCTTGCGGTGCCACAAGAGACCCCATTGGTCCTGTTCTTCCTTCTCTTTTATACCCAAAAGTGATATCACACACTATGGAGTGATATTCCCATCAAGCCTGCTCCATCATTCAATAAGATCGTGGCTGACCTGATTATCCACATTCTTAACTACTCCCGATGTCCTTTCATCCTCCTGCCCATCCAGTATCTCTGCCCTTCTGCCCTCAACACCCCCCAAACACTCTGCATCGAACAGTTTTCAGGGCGAGAGTTCCAAAGATCCACCTCAGAGAGTCCTCAGAGACAGAGAAGAAACTGCTCCTTGTTTTTGGGACAGCCCCTGATTTTTAAACATTGACTCCTTCGTTGAAGGAAGCAAAGGAATGAGCAGTGAATCTGAAGGAGCTGGTCAGGATCAACACTGAATCGATTGGCCAAGGTCCCTCAGCAGACTGAATTGGAACAAATATTACTGTTTTCACAGGGTGGGGGAATCTTTTGGGTAGAGAGGCTCCAGTATATTGGAGACAAGAGATGAGTCGATATTCTGAACCCTCAGGAAATGAGACGATCTGGGGATGGTGCGGGAAAGTAGAGCTGAGGTGGAGAATCAGCCATGATCTTATTGAACAGCATAGCAGCCCAACTCCAGCTCCTACTGCTTCCGTCCTCAACATTAAAGTTAACACCTTCACCAGCCGATTGGCTAATTCTTCACTTCCCAACAAGCCCCAGTTTGTAAAAGTGTTATAATTAGTAAGGAAGTTTGTTTCTTAATCTCTCAGTGAATTCTCTCCCTGGCTCCTGCCATCAAAAGATTAACTGAGATATTTATTCAGGAAGCTCCAGGACACCACACCTGCAGTGGGGTGGGGTGAGGTGGGGTGGGGGTGCATGACAGGCCCTGGTCCATTGAGGATTCCTGGCCCAACACCGAGGACCCAGGAGCCTCTCACACCCTTTGACTTTGACCAGATCCAAGGTCAGGGATGTGGGCTGTCCATTCACAACGAGCCAGAGGGAGGGAGACAGGCTTGACCTGGTTCATTAATGGACATTCTGCAGCCTTCGGGCACGAAATGGCAGAAAATTAGTTTAATTTTTTTCACAGGATGAGGGTGTCACTGGCTTGGCCAGCATTTACTGACCCTCCCTAATCTGAGGGATGTCCTGGGACTCAAGGGAGGTCCCGGGTCATGAGGATCCACAGCAACATTTGGCACAACGTGTTCCGTGAAGTTTTCCCACGGCAAAGGGTTTAGTGCAACAAGAGAGAGGTGAGAGACAAGGGTGGGGCGGTGGAGGGGGTGTGGCAGTGGGGGATGAGGGAGAGAGTGAGAATGAGGGAGAGAATGAGGATGAGAGATGGAGAGATTGAAAATGATAGAGAGAGTGAAATTGATAGAGGGAGTGTGTAAGTGAGAAGACGGAAGGAGAGAGTGTGAGAGAGGGAGAGGGAGTGAGAGCGTAGGAGAGGGTGAGTAAGTTGGAGAGAAAGTGAGAGAGAAAGGGAAAGTGAGTGAGAGAGTGAGAATGAGAGAAGGAGATTTGGAGAGGGAGTGAGAGAGAGAGGGAAAGTGAGTGAGAGAGTGAGAATGAGAGAGGGAGATTTGGAGAGACAGTGAAGGAGAGGTGTCATACAGTGGAGCTGGTAGCTCTCAGGCCTGCCGTGTCTCTGTTAGGTCAGCACACAGCTCCTGGTCTGCTTCCCACGGCCCTGATGGAGGATAGTCCTTGCTGCCTCCTCAAACACCTCGATTACGCCCTCACCCAGCAGTGCCGAGCACTCCATGTACTTCACCGCTTTTATCTTACGGGCGAGCCTCGCTCCTTGTTGGTAACTGACCGGTGCCAGTTCACGTTTGAGCAGGTTCAGGATGGTGCTGGGGTCATGACGGAGATCCTTCTTAGTGCCAACCAACAGCACTGGCACGTTGGGCTGATGGCGTTTAACCTCTGGATACCAGTCATTCCAGATATCGTGGAAGGAGCCCGGGTCACCAATGGAGAAGCAGATGATGAAGATGTCAGTCTGGGGATAGTAGAATTGGCGGATGGACAAAAGATGTTCCTCTTGGGGTGCCGTGTCCCACAAGTTCAGAGTCACCATCCGCTGGTCCACAGTGATCTGGGTCGTGACTGCATCGAAGATGGTTGGCACACTGTCCCGGAGGAAGGCTCCGCTGGTGAGGCACACTATCAGCGAGGTCTTGCCCACCAGCTCGTTGCCTAGCAACATCACTTTGATGGTCACCATTGTCCACACTCGCTTCGCACCCGACCTACAACAAAATTCAACCAGCCATTAGTAAAGAAAAACGGGAAGCATCATTTCTCTAGCACCTGTCCCAACCTCAGGATTGTCATTCGTGGCCAGTGGAAATCCTCTTGAAGCGAACTTCCTGTCATAACGTTGGAGGTGTCGCAGACACGTTGTGCACAGCAGGATCCCACAAACGGCCATCTGATAAGGGATTGACAACCTGTGGAAGTGATGACTGATTGGTGGAGAGTTTTTGGTCAGGGAGAGCCCCCTGCTCAGAGTGAAAGTGTAGCCAGGGATTGTCAGATCAGCCATGATCTCATTGATTGGTGGGGCAGGCTCGATAGGCTGAATGGTCCACCCCAGCTCTTATTTCATATGTTTTAGTGGTTGAGTGTGATGATACAGGAAGCTGTCAAGACTGAAGAGGCCTCAACTGAATATTTTAACCAACACATTTGGAGCAGGAGATGTTCAATCAGCCCCTTGCGCTTGCTCACCATTCAATAACATCGTGGCTGATCTGTTTGTGTTATGATTCCCACATTCCCACCTACTCTGTAATCTCCTTACCTAAACATGATGGTGGACAATTAAACAGCTCACTGGAGGAGGAGGTTCCACAAATATCCCCATCCTCAATGATGGAAGAGCCCAGCACACCAGTGAAAAAGATAAGGCTGAAGCTTTTGCTGCAATCTTCAACCAGAAGTGCTGAGTGGATGATCCATCTCGGCCTCCTCCAGTGGTCCGCAGCATTACAGATACCAGTCTTCAGCCAATTCGATTCACTCCACGTGATATCAAGAAACGGTTGGAGACACTGGATCTGCAAAGGCTACGGGCCCTGACAACATTCTGGCAGTAGTACTGAAGACTTGTGCTCCAGAACTTGCCGCTCCCCTCACCAAGCTGTTCCAGTTACAGTTACAACACTGGTATCTACCCAACAATGTGGAAAATTGCCCAGGTATGTCCTGTACACAAAAAGCAGGACAAATCCAATCCAGCCAATTATTACCCCATCAGTCTCCTCTCGATCATCAGTAAAGTGATGGAAGGTGTCAGTAACAGTGCTATCAAGCAGCACCTGCTCAGCAATAACCTGCTCAGTGTTTGGGTTCCACCAGAACCACTGAACTCCTGACCTCATTACAGCCTTGGTTCAAACATGGACAAAAGAGCTGAATTCCAGAGGTGAGGTGAGAGTGACAGTCCTTGATAACAACGCTGCATTCAACCGGGAGTGGTATCAAGGAGGCCTGGGAAAACTGGAATCAATGGGTATCAGGGGCAAACTCTCTGGTGGTTGGAGTCATACCTGACACATAGGAAGATGGTCATGGTTGTTAGAGGTCCATCATCTCAGCTCCAGGACATCTCTGCAGGAGTTCCTCAGGGTAGTGTCCTAGGCCCAACCATCTTCAGCTGCTTTCTCAATGACCTTCCCTCCATCATAAGGTCAGAAGT